TCCCCGTTCCTTTTTCCCTGTCTTTTCTCCTTTCCCTCATCTTTGTTGTTTATTCCTTATGTTTAGTTTCTTTCCATTTTACTATATCTATTATACCTTTAAGATTTTTTTTTAATACTTTGAGGTTCTAACTAAGGAGACAATACAATATTTGATTTATTTCACTTCTCATATAAATTTTTTGTATCTTTTAAGACTTTAGGTGTTTTTTTCTGATTTTATTTTTTCTTTTATTTATATTTTTGAGACAGTCTCTCTAGTTCAGACTGGTCTTGAATTCATTATGTAGCTCAGGCTGTCCTCTGACTCTTGTGACCCTCTTGCTTCAACTTCTGAGTGCAGAGATTACAGGCCTATGCCACCAGGCCCAGCCAGATGTTTTGTTTTGAGATGAGATTTTGCTAAGTCAATAAGCTTCCCAGCCTGGACTCAAACCTCTGATCCTCCTGCCTCTCAGTCTCCCAGAGTGCTAGAACTATAGACGTGTATCACCACAACACCTACCCAATGTCAGAAAATTTTTGCCCTTGTTTTCTTCTAAGTTGTTCAGTTTTAGTTTTTGCCTTTGTGTGTTTGATCCATTTTGATTTTATTTTTTGTATATGGTGTAAAATTTTATCTATGCTTTTTCGTTTTTGTGGTACTGGGGATTAAATTTAGGGCCTTTGTACTGAGCTATGACTCCATCCTTTTTATTATTTATTTTTTTAAGAGCACACTATTTGGGGGGCCGGGGAGATGGATGGCTCAGTGGAATATGCGCTTCCCTGGCAAGCACAAGGGCCTGCATTCAATCCCCGGTTCCACACAAAAAAAGCAGACTGTTAGAAAGCTTCTGTCCAAGAGAGTGACAGAAGGGGGACCTGCTCAGGGCACCCCCTTTTATTTTTGAGACACAGTCTCTCACTAAGTCATTAAGTTATTCAGGGTGGTCATGAATTTGAGATTCTCCTGCCACAAGCTCCTTTAGTGCTAGGATTATAGCATGTGCCATCACACTTAGCTCAATATCACTTTCTAGTGATTGCAATGCATATGTTAATTAGCTTAATTTATCTATTGCATAATGTATACATATTTTTAAACATTTTTTTTGCGGAACCGGGAATTGAACTCAGGCCCTTGTGTTTGCCAGGCAAGGGCTTATTCTACTGAGCCATCTCCCTGGCCCCCTAAACATAATATTGTACACATTTTCATTTTTGTCAGTTTAAAAATAGGGGTGTGCAGTACCTATCCAAGTGGTAGTATGTGTGCTTAGTAGGTGTGAGGCCCTGGGTCCATTCCCCAGTATGAAAAAATAAGATACTGTAAAAAATTGAATAAAAACAGAATAAATAAAGGTAGAAATCTAATTTAGCCAAATCAAAGTTGAATCAGCTATATTAATTTCAGTTTTATTGTTCAACATGTGGGTATACAGTTTTCTCTGCACCAATTTTTTTCAAACTTTATATTATTATTTCCTCGTCTTTTTGAGACACGGTCTCCCAGGCTGGTCTTGAACTCAATTTGGAGCCCAGGTTGGCCTTGAACTTGCAGTGATCCTCCTGTGTCAGCCCGAGTGCTGGGATTACAGGCATGTACCACTGTACCGGCTCCTCAGCACCAGATTTTGAAGACTGTCCATTCCTTTTGAACAGTGTTGGCACTTGTGTCAAAAACCAGTTTACCTTATTTGTGAGATTACTGTTTTCATTCGTCCATCTGTTTTTGTACTATTATACATATATTGTTTTTTTTTTTTTCTTTTGCTTTCCATTTTTTTGGCAGTACTAGAGAGTGAACTCAGGGAATACTGAGCTAAATCCTCAACCTTGTTGTTATTAATGGTATTGGGGATTGAACCCAGGCGTACTCTACCACTGAACATAATCCTTTTTATTATTTTTTGGGACAGGATAAGTTCTCTGGGCTGGCCTGGGACTTGCGGTCTTCCTGCTTTAACCTCTCAAGTAGTTGGGATTATAGGTCTGTGCCGCTGTGCTTGATCAGTACAGTTTCAGTTATTGAGTCTTTGAATCAGTGTTTGAGGATACTTGCATCAGTATTTATAAGGCACATTTGTCTGTTTTCTCTCCCCCTCCCCCTCTCCTTCCCCTTCCTCCTCCTTTTGTCTTTTTGAGACAGGATCTTACTGTGCAGTTCAGGCTGGCTTTGAGCTTACTTTGTAGCCCAGCTAGCCTCAGACTTGCAGCAGGCCTCCTGCCTCAGTTTCCCAAGTGCTGGGATTACAGGTGTGCGTCTCCAAGCCCAGCTGTTTCTTGTAGAGTTTGTTTTCAGGGTAATTTTGACCTGGGAATGAATTTAGGGACTAGACATGTAGCCCAGTGGTAGAGCACTTGCCTGCCACATGTGACGCTGTGTTTCATCTCCAGCATTAGGAGGAAGAATTCGAAAGGGTTTGCAGATTAGTTTTCATTTTTCTTAAAGTGATAAAAAATTGGGGGCCTGGCCTTAGCTCAGTTGTTTAAGTGGCTGCTTCCACAAAGCTGTCAGCCTCAGGTTGCTGTAGTTTGATCCCCATAACACTTCAGCCAGCCAAACCACCCCTGAGGTCATTCGGAGCAAAAAAAAAAAAAAAACAACAACAACAAAAACACCTTATTCCATAAAAAATTTAGCAGTGAAACTATTTGGTTTTGGGGTTTTTGTTGTTGTTGCAGATGGTATATTAGTTTGCTTATGTTGCTATAATAACATACCTAAGTCTAGGTAATTTATGAATGTCAGATTTGTTTATCCAAGTTTTGGTGGCTGGGAAATTGCTGAACATAAGCTCATAGGTTAGGTACATGGTGATGGTGGAAACCTTGTCTGGTGCATTTTTAAATGGTGAAAGGTTAAATGGCCTTCATGGTTTTCTTCAGCTGTTTCATAAGGGAGTAATTCTGTCCAGCAGAGCAGAGTCCTCAGGACCTAGTTGTGTCCTATAGATCCCACATTTTTTCATATTACTGCATCAGGGAAGACATTTCTACATTAATTTGGGAGTGTTCTAACCATAGCAGAGAGTTTTTGACCTCTACTTCATGACCCTTATTAGTTATAGATAGGCACAGTTTTTTTGTGTGTTTCTAGAAATGTCATCAGTGTAATTGTTTTCATTGTTCTACTAGAGGCTTTGTGGACTGTGTTCTTTTAGTAGTGTGGTCCAGTTATACAGGAACTCTGGTGATGTGGTGTTGAGTGCTGAGGGAGGCAAAGCGTTCCTTGATCTGTGACTTGGCTTCAGTTTTAGGAAGCCTGTATCTCTTGAGTTGTGACTTTCATAAGCACTTCTTAGTCTGTCCTAATCAGGTCTGTTTTTAGACAGCCCCAATACCTGGGGAAATTATCCTCTTTGTAGTGAGCATGTGCAGATTTCTTTTTGGTCATCATTTCCTGAACAGTTGCAACACAGTAGTTACTTACTTTGTCTTTATATTGTCTTAAGTCTTACAAAAATCTAAAGATGGTTCATCAGTGTCAAAGCCTTTTGGCTTTCCTGGGCTGCATTCAATGAAGAGGAATGGCTTTTAATATGGTTAATGTATATGATTACAAGACTTCCTTTATTTAAATTTTTTTTATCATAAAGAAGAGGACAATCAACCTGCAGCTGCGGGTTGGATGCTTCCGAAAGTCCCCAGGGGGTTTTACCTGTTATCTGTGAACACCATGCCCTTTCACATAAGGGGCTTAGGTATCTCTACATTTTAGTGTTTGTGTGGGTCCTGGAACTAGTTCTTTACAGGAAATTTTTCTTTTTGTTTTTCTGGTTCCCTCTTGCCACTGAGCTATACCCCCAGTGCTGCAGTTTCTCTTGCAGGAGAGACTTGACCACAAATCTCTGGGCATATTTCAGGATGGCTACATTTCCATTTTCCTGCTGAAGGCAGGCAGTGACTTTGATGTTCACTGAGAGCAGCTGTCAGGGATTGTGGAAGTAAAACAAACTAGAGGAGCCCACCCTGTAATTTTTACATCTCATGCTTGTCCAATTGACTGTTAGCAGTTTACTATTTACAGTTTAGTTTTTTTTTTTTTTTTTTTTTTTCACCCTTCTGCTTTCTGTTCCAGTAGATTATTTCTTGGTTCCTAGTCTTTGGGTGTCCATTTGGGGACTGCTGCTTGACTCTGAACTCATTTCTCTAACAGATGTAGGAAAAGTTACAGAGTTTTGATTCATTTGCTTTTTCTTCTCTGAATGTGTTTTGCCTTCTCCCTCTTTCTGTGCCATAGTGGAAACAGGAAATCCTTGATGTTCGTTTTTGCTGTTTGCTGACATTTATTATTATTTTTTAAAATATTTATTTAATTATTTTGTGTCTGTGTGTGGCCAGCTCAGCCCACCAGGGGGCGGGACTGACTGGCATGTGGTGCTGGGGGATTGAACCGTGGTCCCTGTGCTTTGCTTAGCTTAGCTTGTTCTAAGTAGGTGCTTTAGACACTGAGCCATCTCACCAGCCCCTGTTTGCTGACATTTAAAAACATATTTTTATTTGCACTGCTGGGGATGGAACCCAGGGCCTTTTGCATGCTTAGGCTGGGGATGGAACCCAGGGCCTTGTGCATGCTTAGGAAGAGTTCTGCCCTTGAGCCGCCCTCCACAGCCCTGTTGACAACTTTTCTTCCTGTTTTTTTTTTTTTTTTTTTTTGTATGTGTCTCACTGTAAATTAGGCTGGTTTTGAGATCACTGTGTAGGCTATATTGGCCTTGAACTTTTGCCAATCTTCCTGCCTCAGCTTTCTGAGTACTGGATTTGTGGGCATGTGCCACCATACCTGGTATCTGCTGACAACTTTTCTGCCTTAACCTTCCTTCATTCCCCTGTGCTTGCATCTTGATAAGGACATAGGAAAGCATGCATACTCCCTCCTTTTTCAGTGACAAGTGATTCAGTCCTTGTCAAGTTTGCCCTCTTACACTAGCTTACTCCTTAACTTCAGTAAAAATCTCAAAACCAGTGTGGTTGTGTACACTCATAATTGCAGCTACTCCAGAGGCTGAGGCAGGAGGATTGAGCTCTAGGCCATCTTGGGCAACTTACCTGGTCTCAAAATAAAACATAAGGGCTGAGAATTTGGCTATGGTAGGGTGTCCCTGGGTTCAATACTTAATCCCACAGTGAGTGAATGAGTGAGTCAATCAGTCAAAGATTAGGCTGTTTTCCTTGCTCTTCTGAGGCATTTCACAGCTGCTTGAGCCTTGGTAGTCTGTTGTGCTGCCTGAAGTCTTAATGTATTTTGACCAGCTCTTCGCTGCAGAGTTCCTGGTGTGTCAGGTGCACCACATCTGTGAATTAAAACTGAAATTGCCACAAAGTAGATAAATTATGTCCTTGCCAAACATAGTTTATTTCTTTGTGTGTGTGTGTGTGTGTGTGTGTGTGTGTGTGTGTGTGTCTGTATGAATTGGCATGCTGAAGGATCAAATCCAGGGCCTCGTGTATGCTAAGCAAATGCTGTGTAATAGAGCTGAACCTCTAGCTCCTTTTCCTTTTTCCCTCCTGCATGTGCTGGCTTTTGCTTTGTTCTTCATGCTGGCCTGAAACTCTTGGGTTTGAGAAATATTCCCACCTCTACCTCCTGAGTACTTTGTACACCACTGCACTTGACTCCATTCCTTAATTTTTTTATTTTAGGGCTGTGTGGGGGAGATAGAGTGTGTCTGATGATCAAGTCAGGAAATAGCTGTTTGGTGACCAGTATGTATTGAGTGTGTTCATCCCCAGGGCTGTCAGTCTTACCCATTTTCATTTATACATATGTGGGATGTTTTAGGATTTGGTGACCTTTGAGGATGTGGCTGTGCACTTCACTCAAGAGGAGTGGGCTTTGCTGGATCCTTTCCAGAAGAATCTGTACAGAGATGTGATGGAGGAAACTGTCAGTAATCTGGCCTCTGTAGGTAAGGATGACATCATTCCTTCACTTAGTCATTTAGGGCCAGGGATATAGCTCAGTGGCAGAGCACCTGCCTGGCAAATGAGAGGTTGTGTGTTCAGTTCCTGGTACTAAAAACAAAAAGCAAAACAAAACACTTTTAGTCATTTAAAAAGCAGGTATTTCTTGGTATTTATTTATTTAGAATATGAAAGGGGAATGTTTTGGTAAGTATATCAGCTGGACCTCAGTGAATCATGAAGCTAGTATTTAATATATGTTTAACTGTTTTACTGGGCACAGCAGACTAAAGCCCTGCGTAGGTAGGTATAGGGGCTGGGGTTTGATCCCCGGAGTGTCATACTGGCCCTGCACCTGGGGCATGCTGAGATGGCAAATGAGACTGGATGTGGTAGTGTGTGCCTGTAATCCCAGCACTTGGGAGGTTGAAAACAGGGTCACTCCATGTCTGATCTGTGTAGTGAGAGCCTGTAGATCCTCTACTAAATACATTTAAAAAAAAAAAAAAAGTTGTACTGATTCATAACGCTTTTTCTGGGTGTATATTTTAGGAATAAAATTGGACGACCTGAATATTGAAGAACTTTACCAAAGTCCTGACGAAAACCTAAGGTACTTTGCATTCATAAAGGAAAGCAATTTTCGTAGAATAAAAAACACAGTAACAGAAATAGTCTGATTCTTCATTCCTCAAAATTTTGCCTAGAATTACATATACTTAAATGTTATATAGTTATAAGTTCACGTGTAAACAATATTAAGAAAATCCATATATGTTTTGTTAATTGTGATCCAGATCTCTTTTAGAGGACTTAAGCTATGCACAGGCAATTCTGAGGGGATGTACAACCCTTGCTTTCTCTGGTAATATTAAAAATACAAGTGTAGATTTTGTTACTAAATATAAATTATTAAAAACAAAGAGCTGGTTATAGTGGTACATACCTGTAATCCTAGCATTTTGGGAGTTGGAGGCTGGAGAATAGCAATTTCAGGCTTAAGACTGGGCAGCTTGTAATGTAACAAGACCTTGTCTCATAAAAGAGGATGTAGCTCAATGTCAGAACTCTGAGCTCAATCCTCAGTGCTACAAAAAAGAGAGACAAAGGAAGGAAGGAAGAAAAGTGATCATGCTGTGTAGCTTGTAATCCCAGCTACTTATGAGGCTGGGGGATTGTGAATTAGAGGTTAGCTTGGCCAATGTAGAAAGACTGTTAGAAAATAAACATAACACTAAAGCCTTTAATTTTAATGTTTCTCTTTTCTTACAGAAGTCATGTGGTAGAGAGACTCTGGGCAAGGGTAGAAGATGGTCAATGTCGAGAAACTTTCAGACAGATTCCAGATACTAGGGTCAGCAAGAAAACTCCTGCTGTAAAATCATATGACTGCCGTGTGTGTGGAGAAGTCTTCATTGGTCATTCATCCCTAAATAGGCACATGAAAGCTCACACTGAACATAAACCAAGTGAACACAAGGATGGAAAGAAGACAAATCAAGATAAGCAATGTGGAAATGCCTTCAGTTTTTGCTATAAAAAATCTGAAAGAACTTGCGTTGAAGAGAAATCTTATCAGTGTAAGGAATGTGGAAAATTCTATATTTCTCTATTAAACTTTCAAAGACACATTGAGAGGCACAGTGGAGAGAGACCTTATAAATGTAAGATATGTGGCAAAGACTTTTATTCTTCTAGTTCTTTTCAAATACATGAAAGAACTCACACCGGAGAGAAACTCTATCAATGTGAACAGTGTGGTAAAAGTCTAAGTACTTCCAAAGCCTTTCAGATACATAAAAGAACTCATACTGGAGAGAAACCTCATGAATGTAAGGAATGTGGGAAAGCTTTCAACTGTCCCAGTACTTTTCAAAGACATAAAAGAATTCACACTGGAGAAAAACCCTATGAGTGTAAAAAATGTGGTAAGGCTTTCAGTCGTTTCAGTTCTTTTCGAATACATGAAAGAATGCATGCTAGGAAAAACACATGCTATGAATGTGATGAATGTGGGAAAGCTTTCATTTCTTTTGCATCTTTTCAAAGACACATGATAACGCATACTGGAGATGGACCTCACAAATGTAAGGAATGTGGAAAAGCATTCATTAGTTCTAGTGCATTTCAAATACATGAACGACAACACACTGGAGAGAAGCCCTTTGAGTGTAAACAGTGTGGAAAAATGTTAAGTAGTGCCAGTTCCTTTCAAATACATGAAAGGACTCACACTGGAGAGAAACCATATGAATGTAAGGAGTGTGGGAAAACCTTCAGTTGTCCCAGCTCCTTTCAAAGACATGAGAAGACTCACACTGGGGAGAAGCCATATGAGTGTAAGCAGTGTGGTAAGGCTTTTAGTCGTTCCTGCTACCTTCAGATGCACGAAAAGTCTCACACTGGAGAGAAGCCCTACATTGGAGAGAAGCCTTACCAGTGTAAACTGTGTGGTAAAGCATTTCGTAGTTCTAGTTCCTTTCAGATTCATGAAAGAACTCATACTGGAGAAAAACCCTATGAATGTAAAGAATGTGGGAAAGCCTTCAGTTGTCAAAGTTCACTTAAAAGACATGAAAAGATTCACACTGGAGAGAAACCGTATCAGTGTACACAGTGTGGTAAAGCTTTTGGACGTTACAGTTCCCTTCAAATACATGAAAGAAATCACACTGGAGAGAAACCATATGAATGTCAAGAATGTGGTAAAGTCTTCAGTAGTTCTAGTTCGTTTCAAATACATAAAAGAACACACACTGGGGAGAAACCCTATGTTTGTCAAGAATGTGGGAGAGCCTTCAGTTGTCCCAGTACCCTTCAGAAACACAGAAGGTCTCACACTGGAGAAAAACCCTATGTGTGTATGAAGTGTGGGAAAGCTTTCAGTCGGTCTAGTAACTTTCGAACACACCAAAGATCTCATTCTGAAGGAAAAACTGCACAAATATAGTAAGGGTGGGTAAGCCTTATCTTGTTGCAGTTCCTTTGAGAAGTGTAGAAGAGATCATGTTGTGGAGGCACCCTGTGCAAAGAATATAGGAAGGCATTCTTTGTGCAGCTTTTTAGCATATTTGAGAATGTATATTGGTGAGAAACCTTTTAAGTACAGATGGTAACAGTGGCTTTTGTGTTCCACTTCAGCTTGAAGTCATGAAAGAACAATGGAGAGAATATAAGCAGCATACATAAGCCTTCATTTGGCTCAAATCCTTACAGAGATGGGTAAGAAGGCTCACTGGGGATTGGTGGTGTGGCTCTTCGGTAAAGGGCCTGCATCACAGTCACAGTTCAATCGCAGCACTACCACCAGAAAATCTGTTTTTTGAGCCCAGCACTCCCACCAGAAGAAGGAAGGAGGGAGGCAGGAGAGAGTGCACACTGGATTAAAAGGTTGAGAGTATGAAAAGTATGTTTGCCATTTTAAAAATAGAGACTTACAACTATTTCCAGCTTAGTGAAATATACAAATTGAAATAATATGAAAAACCTAATGTAAATACGTAATGCTCCAGGAAGCACACATTGTGAAGGAAATGGTGTAAAAGATAAAAATGGATTTTCTTTTATAAATGGTTCTTTGTTAATGTGGACATTGGGCCTGTGGAGATTACTACTTTGCAAAGAATCACTGAGGTGAGATAATTCTGTAAATACTTTTAAAGCAACTGTGAATTTAATATGTGTGTTTTGTTTGTTTTTTTTTTTTTTTGTACAAATATTCAAACTGAACCTTTGTGCTTGCCAGGAAGACACTGTGCCACTGAGCTATATCCCTGGCCCTATAATATGTAATTTTTCTTAAGTCACTTAATACTGTTTTGGTCTTTTCATGGTACAGGGGGTTGAATCCAGGGAATGCTGTGCTGCATTCCTAGCACTTCTAAGTTTCTGATCCAAGATCTCACTAAGTTGCCTAGGCTGGCATCTGACTTGCTCATACCTTAGCCTCCCTAGTAGCTATGGTTATAGGTATGTGCTGTGGTGCCTGGCTCACTTAATATAAATTTTACTTGCTCATTATGAAATGTATAGAATCTGCGGATGAATTGAAATGCATTTTTAATATAGAAGGAGGTTTAATTTTTTAAAAAAATGTGTTTGGTACAGGGTCTCACTACGCAGCTTGGACTTGTAGTGATTCTCCTGCTTTCAGCCTCCTCAGAGCTGGATTACAGGCATGTGCCACCACTCCCGGTCTCAGTGGCAGGCTCAGTGAGCCCAGGGGCAGAGCTGGCATGGCATGTGTTGCTGGGGATCAAACCCCAGCCCCTGTGCCTGCCTAAGTGCCAGCCCTAGGAATTTTAATTTTTATCTAGTTGTTGAATTCTGGTAATAAGTCATTGAAAACCAATCTTTGTTAATTGTTAGAACTTTCTTTTTGGCCTCATGTGGCAGGTTCTGAAATATATCTTGCTCATTCTATGTGTTCTACCACTTTCTTATGGAGAAAACTTTTTATCCTATATTTATTTTTAATTTTTTGTACTGGGATCAAACTGATGACCATGCACTTGCCAGGCAGGTGCTTATGCTGCTGAACTATATCCTCAGCCCTGAGAAAACTTTTTAAAGGGCACAAAGAAGTTTATATCTTTGTGGCTAATAAAGAATTGACATCAGATTTTTTTGTTTGTTCTTTAGATAGGATCTCTGTGTAGTTCAGACTAGTCTTAAAGTTACTGTACAGCGCTGACTGGCCTCAAACTCATCTTCCTGCCTTACCCTCCCGAAAGCTGGGATTACAGGCATGTACCATCATGTCTAGTTGCCATTGGATTTAAGGATATAAATTTTACTATAGAAAGTAGCCTTATGTGAATAATTATTTTCATCTTTTCCCTTCTTTGTCATTCTTTCCAGCTGTTGACTAGTTCACTTTGAATGAAAAGCAGAGACCTGTGGTAGAATAATAAAATTAAGAGTTGGCATTGGATTGTGATGCCTTCGTTGGGAATGGGGAATATTGGAGTTTCTATTTTTATAGTTTGAGTCCCTAATAGTTTACCTTGAAGGACAATTTGAAGGCAGAGTGAAGAAAGCATTTGTTGGATTTTAAAGCCACTGTACAGGAAGACAAGTGATGGGGCGTGTGAATGGAGGCCAGCTGGCAGCCCATGCTCCCGCGTCCTAGGCTTGTCCAGTAAGACCCCATAAAACCAGCTGCCTTTCACGCCCTAAAGGTGCAGTTTCTCATATATTTTACATCAGCTATATGTGAGTTATCTGTCTTTAGGATTTCCATACAAATCCTAGTATGTATATTAGGTAGCTGACATAAGACTGTCCTGCTTGAGAATATTGTTTCCCCTCTTTAGATTGGATTTGTATGTGAATACCTGATTGCATGAGAGCTTTAGGCATCAAAGAAACTGGGGGATGGGCTGGGGATGTAGCTGTGTGGTTAGAGCCTTTGCCCAGGTGGGCTGAGGCCTGGGGAACAATGCTCAACACTGAAACATAAAACTAGATGGGAATTTGTTTTCCACTCCACTGAGTGGTGACTGCCCTCACCCTGCCTTTGCATTGTTTGTGAAGATTCTAGATGTTTCCTGTTCTTCATAGCTCAGTGTTATTGCTCTGTTTTCAGTCATGTTTATTCTGTGATGAAATGAGTATGGTTAATTTAGAAAAGTCCTGATTCTTGGAAACAGGATGTGATTTTCATTATGTATTGGAAATACATGTAAACTAATAAAATAATTAAAAACTAAAATGTGTAGGATTTTTTAAAAAATAATTTGGTGAAAGAAATGGTTTAGGAAGCAATTGAGAATAAACAAAAAGATCAGTAGTCCATCATTGTTGAAACTAGGTGACTGATTAGTGTAGGATTCCTTTTCTTGTTTCTACAGTTCTACATGCTTGAAAAATTCCATAATAACAAACTGAAGGGGATATGATTATACAGGTGTGTGTTAGGCAGTAGAATAGATGGCAGATGAAAGGACCGATGTGTGATTTAAGAATTAAGGTTCAGGGGCTGGAGAGATGGCTCAGTGGTCTAAAGCACCTACTTAGAACAAGCTTAGCAAAAGCATCAGGGACCGCGGTTCAA